GCCAACTGAACAGTTATAGACCATTGGACAGGGAAGGGAAACTGTCATTTGCATCTAATTTACAAAAACTGAACAGCTATCTTCTCTTGAACGCGTCTTCCTGAACTTTTTTGGATATTTATTGGCTGTTGCTCAAATCCAAGCAAATGCTACAAAGCGACTCCACAAATTCCGCAGCAGATCTCCTTTCTCAAGACACACAAAGCGAATTTACAAGAGGAAAAAATACTACTCGCGTGCCTCCCCCACCAGTAATATCACCCTTACACCGGTACCATATACTGGGTCTCGAAGATACATCTGTGGAGGTGGATTATTCCATTTATATGATGCCCGATATATAATAAAACAGGCACATTGCAGAAACTGCATATGAGCAGCTATTCTAAAACCAAGATACTGCTTTGTAATCGTGCGTATCAGAAAGTTACCCGTTGACTTCTGGACAGTTTAGGCTCTGCTCGTAAATGTTTATATTTATCCTCTTCGTTGGGACTCGCGTGAGTTCGTCGATAACTTTAGAGCAATTTCGGTGAGTTCCTAAGAAATTGCACATCAACATTCCTGTTTACGGGAATCCATTTTTTTGTGAAGGAAGATCATCGGAGAGGTCTACCCACTAAATATTTGAAAGACGCAGTTTTGTGATGTACGGAAAACATTCAGTTTGAGTTCGGAAGTCACACGGATAAAAGCAGGTTTACAGTGTCACAATATGCATTTTCCCAGGTCCACAACTGGTAGGAACTTTCTCGGAACTGCTGGGAGCCAGCTTTAAGATAACATCTTTCAATCCTTAAATTTTCGACATTGTCAATCTTGATCATTTGGTTTATTCGTTTACTATCACGAAGTGTGTTCAGCTCCCCGAAATCGTGGATTTATTTGCCCTCAACAAGCAAACGAGGATGATATGTTTTTTGTTTGCAACTCAAGCCCGTTTTAAAGCAAGATTCAGCTGAATCACAGTTAAGCCTCTCGTTTACGCTATGCTTAGAATGAATATAATTCACAGAAGGTGTCTCAGATGTCATTTGGAACCACATTCCAATAACAGTAGATCTTTTTCGAAAATTAATTCGATCCCTATTTCAGAAATAAGGTTTCTGTAGGGCGTGCTACTTAGAGGCATATAGAAGTTCTCAGGGTTTTTTTTATCACATATATTGTAACGCAGTTTAACGAGGCGAAAATTTCAGCGTCACAACAAGTTTTACGATTGACCCTGGAAGGGGAACAATAACATGATTCCACTCATCTGCAAACCCGTTTGCTTTTGACAAGGGACTCGCCCGGAACCCAGCTGAATCTTTATTTTATGATGTCCTTAAACAACTGAATGTGCTGCACCGGGCAGCCTAATGTTTGAGTTGAGATATCGCCATACATTGAATGAAGGTAATACACTACCCATTGGGTTGTCGTTCAGCAACCTTATGAGTAGTGTATGATCCNTTTTCAGCAACCTTATGAGTAGTGTATGATCCCACTTTGCGGTATTTGATGCATCTAATCACAGTGTTTCGTGGAATAAACGGGAACGCGAAATTCGCTCCCGGTTCTCGGATTATGTTAAGCTTCTGGTAAATTCTCAAAGTAAGGAATTCACTAATTTGTGCAGATTTAAATAATCAGAGTTCTCATATGGACCATAGCTCTTTTGGTAACCAATTTATGCAGTTCTATTGACCACAGTTCCTTTCTAGGTGAAACCGAGGAAAGAAGGATATGATTTGGCTCAAAACGAGTGAAACCCGGGTTATGGCTAACTAGCCTGATTGAACTACGCTTGCAAGCGAACAGCTTAAACGACAGTGGTCTTCAAATTTCGCGTTGGCTTGAAGGAAACGCGATAAACCACGCATCACGCCACCATATCTCATGATGTGCATTCAGTTGGCTTCAGAAATGAATACACTGAGATAGGGTCTCAGACAGCGATGTGGCGATTGATTAAATTTCCTCGTTTCCCATTCGAAAAACTCGGGAAAGATCGTGATTCTTGTTTCTTTGTTTTGTTGGCTTTGCTGTTCAGCAAGGATTTGTGTTCAGTGAAGATACGGGTTACACAACGACTAGCTGCGCGCGGATTTTTCTGCTACAAGATAAAAGTCGAGTGCAGGTTGCTCTGTTTGAATCGGTCGATCTGCTGAATTTCGCGTATTCGAACAGTCGTCAGTAGAGTATTGGTAGTAATTTCAACAGCAAACTATTTCCTTGGGTGCATGGGAGCCGTGAAAAATGGGGTTTGAAGAAAAGGTTTGAAGAAAAGTGCCTACGTAAAGCTGTGAACATCGGTTCAACAAAGACCGCTTGTCAGCATTCTACGTACTTCATAAGAACACATGCTAGGCACGATTCGGACGGGCGTCACAAGACGTGCTTCACGGGACTGTTTTTGCATCCGTATACATTTAAACTTAACCTATCGTCATTTTTTGCACTGAGTGAATCTTCTGCTGTAATGAGCTGGCTTCC